ACGTCCGCGCACACACACACACACACACACACACACACACACACACACACGTTAACCGCTCAAAGAATAAAACACAACTTTGCTTAAAGCATGTACAAACCCCACTTCCACTCCTGTTACAGACACCAAACCTCTCCCAATCCCTCACCTCAACGTCCGTAGGAAATCCCTTTTTTAAAGGGAGGAAAACTGGCTCTGCAGCGCTGAGATTCTACGTCTGACAAACAGGCGGGAGGTTTCGGGGGTTCCTGCCAATCACGCCCGCCTGGAAACACAACTTTGCTTAAAGCATGTACAAACCCCACTTCCACTCCTGTTACAGACACCAAACCTCTCCCAATCCCTCACCTCAACGTCCGTAGGAAATCCCTTTTTTAAAGGGAGGAAAACTGGCTCTGCAGCGCTGAGATTCTACGTCTGACAAACAGGCGGGAGGTTTCGGGGGTTCCTGCCAATCACGCCCGCCTGGCTGTGTCGTGCACCCAACCCCCCTGCGACAAAGGATGTTTTGCCTGCTCCTGCTAATGTGCCAGAGGGTCTGGCAGGCCCCCGTCCCGGCAGGGCTCAGGCGGCAGGCAGCTCATGGGCCATGCTGAAGGGGGAGTTTATCTTTCAGCCAAGGCCTCTGCGGGCCAAGGCCTGGCTTTGCGTGTTGCGCAGAGGGAGGCCCATCGCTGTCAGCCGGAAAACAGGGAGAATCTGAGTGAGAGATGTCCCACGTGGCTGCCTTTGCAGCCCTTGCTTCACTCCTGCCCCTCCTCTTCCTTCGTGGGGCAGGCGGGGGTGCTGCGGAGGTGGGTGGTGCTAAGAGCCCCCAGAAGGCTCCCTCCAGAAAGCACTTAACAAAGGAAGTCCGTATCCTTATCCCAGTGGTACATATGGAGAAACTGAGGCACGGAGGGGGGTAATGAGTTGCTCAGTAGGGATGTTAAGTATCAGTTAATTGAACAGTCGAGTAACCTCAAGAATTCTTATCGGTTAGTCGACTGTTCTATAGCGCGCTCCAGCTTCACCCCCGAGGAGCCCCCCGCCTGCCAGTCGCCCAGCACTGCTGCCTCTGATAAAGAGACAGCAGCGCAGGGTGGCAGCAGCCCCTGTCCAGGGCGGGTCTGAGCTCCTAGACCCGGCATGAGCCAGAACTGAGCCAGGCTGCCTGCCCACACTTGAAATGTGGAGCCGCAGCGGGGGTAGGTCCCGGACCCATTGCAAGCCAGGACTGAGCCAGGCTTATCGGTTAATCAACTACACTGTTACGTCCCTATTGCCCAGGGCCAGCCAAAAGCACAGGGAATAAAACCCCAATCTCCTGAGTCCCAGGCCCCACCCGCTCCAGCACAGCCAAACCCAACTGGTATAAAATCATGGATCAGCCTCCCATCCCCAAATCAGGAGGCTGACTTTAAAATCAGGACATATTAAGGTTAAACAGAGCCTCCGCTGCTTTGTTCACCTTCCGAGTGGCGGCATTTGGGGGTCGTAAGGCACACTTGGCTCACATTGTCAGGCTTTTCTCACCAACCAGGAGAGCTAAGAAACTTAACTCTCGTTAAAAAAAACCAACCCCCCCAACTACCCCAACATGGAGATTCTTCATGGTGTAGTCACGTGGCTCCAGGAGTTGAAGCTTTAAGCCAGACACCAATCGTCGTAAGAACAGCACCACGGCCGGGTCCAGCGCACGGCGCTGCACACACACAGCGCAGCAGGCAAGGGTTAGCAGGAGGGAGGTTTTAGGAGGGGACTCGGGCCTGCGAGCTGGTCACTGGTGCCCCCGGAAGAGTCGCGATTCCAGCTGCAAGTGATCACCTGGCTCCAAGAGCTGCCCCTTGGCGACAGGGCTCACAAGCCAAACCTACTTGTGGGCTTGCTTCCAAGCCCCGAGCACAATGGCCGGGTGGGATGCTGCGGGCTGACCCTCGCCAGTCAGGCCTGTGACGGGGCCCGCAACCCTGCACTAAAACCCCCACGGCAAAAGCCCTACTTGGGCGGCGGGGGAGCGCGCACTGGCATTGTGCCAGGTGTACGCGCGCCGCGGACCAGCTGACCGCCTCGGGTGGTAGCGGTAGCAGCGGCCCAGTCGCTGTGGGAGGGGTGGAGCCAGCCGGTGACGTCAGGAGGACGTCACCCTCCGGCGCCGGGCACGGCGGGAGTTTTAAACGCTGCCCCGGGCAGAGGGACAGGGGGAAGAGTGTGGAGGAAGGCAAACGGCGGGGGAATTGGAGCCTTCGCCCCGAGGAGGACGGGCACGGGTAAGTCCCCTTGGCCGCGGAAAGCAGGACTTCGCGGACCACCGTGGAGCAACGGGGTCCGGAAGGTCGTCCTGAGCGACGAGCGGCTGGCCCACGGAGGGCCGAGTAAGCCAACAGCAGGAGAGGGGGGACAGCATGGAGAAGAAGTAGCCCAGGGGACGGCCATGTAAAAGCCCCTCACTTGGACAGGTTTCGGGAAGACATCCCTGTCAACCGGGCCCGGACCGAAGTCGGTCCGTGTCCTTTAGGGCCCTGGGCTGGGGCCCGGAAGTGAGGGTGGGCCCGGGCCCCCCTCTTGCCCCCCTATCCTGCACCCCCTCTTGGAATAACTGAGAAAGAAGGCAATCCCCGGAAGGGGTGAAGCCCAGGCTGTGTGGGCACTGTCGGAGGACAGTGGCCTGAATCGAATAGTATTGCCGTCAGCGGAGCCAATTCCCCAGAGTTGACGACGGGGGATGCTGTGGGGGTCATCGGAACCCCTCCAAGGCCGCTCTGGCTCTCCCCTGACAAAGCAACCTCCGTCCCTGGGACCCGTGAGCCTAGGACACAGGCTCTCTGCACAGGCAGCCCTGGGAGCCCAGAAGGGCTCGGCTGATCTCTCCGAACCCCAGGGCTCACACTCTGCCACGGGCTCTGGCGTTCTCCACTCACTTGGTTTAGATGACAGAGCACAGCTTGCCCAGGGATCAGAAACCCTGGATCAGGCCTACTCAACTGTGGAAGCCCCGGGGCACAATGATACTCTCAGCACATGCGAGGGCCCCAACCTAAGTGTGCTTGCATAGACATGCAAATATATGCAAATAGCTTCTTTCCCACAATGCCTCCGAGTTGATGGTGGAGGGTCTACTGTCAACCCAGCAAGGTATGGACCCTGCAGTAAGTAGCTAAGCTAGGTCAATGCAAGTTACATTACTGCTGTAACTCAAACTGTGTAGCTTAGATCAGCCAACCGCTGAGGTGTAGACAAGCCCTTAGTCTGTGACTCAGTTTCCCACCGGTCCTCTCGGAGGTGCGGTTAGGACAGATCCATTAAAGGCTGAGGGGTTCCAATACGGTGACAGGAGGAGAGAGACACTGGAGAGCAGACAGACGCAGCCCCAGCCCCTGCACACTGAACTCTGCTTTCACCTTCCCGGACCCCCCCCATCCCCCACCACCATCACCTGCATCGGCACTTGCGGGGGCTGCGCTTTGCCGGTCTGCCCACGGGGGCTGCGCCTGCTGGCGGGACGGGGCGGGAGAGCTTGGCAGGGTCATGCCTCGGGAATTCCCTCGCTCCCCAGCCGAGCAGGAGCGATTTGAGGGAGGCATGCGGAGGGTGACGGCAGCACGCCCGGGGGGAGCGTGAGGGGGGGCATCGCCAGGCTGGGAAGCCGAGGTGGCAGCGCAGCGTGTGGGGCGAATCGTGTCAATAGTCTGGGCTGGGAATGGGGGCAGAGCCTAGTGGCAGTGCACATGCTCCCCCTTGTGGGCCCCCGAGCCGGGCTGCTCCAGAACACCCCCCCCACCGCCCCATTCCCCA